TTCTGTGGACGATCTTTCGCGGGCGCAACAACATTGGGAAATCACATGAGAACTCATACTGGCCAGCGGCCTTACGAGTGCGAGGTTTGCGGACAAACGTTTGCTATAGCGACACAGCTCAGTCGCCATCTCAGACCACCTGGAGAATGTGGGCTCAGACGGAAAGAAGTGAATAACTACAACCAGAGTGTTGATATTGCAGTTGAACAGTGAACATTGCAGTTCAGCTGGTTCCGCAGTCAAAGAAGCAATAGCTGCCTATACCGTTATGGCAATGGCTTTTAGCCCAAAATCTCCATGGCCATATTTGTACTGTCCAAGAAACTTTGTTCTTGCACCATGGGTGCATGCATACTGGATAAACACCTGTAGCAAAATAGAGTGAATTGCTCACAATTGTCCAGTGGCGGACACAAGAAAGGCGAACCCATCCAAGTTGTAACAAGTTTTTCAACCATGAAAACTTTGTATCGTTTTAATTAAGACAAATTATCGAGTCATTCCAGGTTTGACGACAGGAATTTGGACCAATAAACGGGTGAGAGTATGTTTCCAACCCCAATATTTTGTGAAGTGACCGCCACTGCAATTGTCATTGATAATCAGCTGTCAGTACTGTAAGTCAACCTTAAGCCTGGTTCACATATATGCCTGCGACGTACCGGCGACGATACCGGTGGTAGCTTTAAAACGTAAATTATGTGAACATTTGTTCGCGGATTGCCTCCAGTGCCACAGTTACATCGGCGGTAGGCCGGGAAAGTTGAGTTGAGTTCAACTTTGCCGGTATTTCGGCGGCAAGTAAAGGCATAATGATACAGTCGCAGGCATATGTGAACCAAGCTTTAGGTCTGAATATAGTACTTCATGTGGACTAAAAAGGACTTGTATATAATACTTTGCCTGTTGAAAGTTGGATTCACTATCTGGGCCAAAGAATGTAATCAGCTATGTAATATATTTATAAGAATTGATTTTATATTTTTGTATATATACCGTTAACAAAAAAATAACGCGAGTAACAAAGAGTTGTCATTTTTCTTCGTCTCGTGAAGGAAGACAGCACTGATCTCAATCTAGGACTGGATAGAGCAATCTTTTGAATTCTGGGAATTAATTTTGAAGCCGGGATATTTATAATGAGAGAGATTTTTAAATCCGCCACGCTCCATACAGCCGATGCGCTTTAAATCAGAAAATGTATTCTGTTAAGTGTACCCTTCTTTCTTTTGCTTTACACAGAAGACAAAATATGCTAGTACAAAATAGTTTTAATTCACAGTTCTATTGGCTATGTAGGTGAAAGAGATATAATGACTGAATACTTTGACATGCACACTTTAATTCGTCCAGCGTCAGCTACATGTTATGATTCAATAATTTATATCCTGACAGAGAACGTGTCATTTGGATGCGCAACTCTGAACCAGCTTATTGTCTCAGCCATTCTACTACATTACGATTCTAGCCATTAAGTGCCCAATATATTGCAGGTGTTAAGCATTTTTTTTTCTTACACTGAGAAGTACCATTTTTGTTGAGTGGAAACCAAAACCTTGCACAGGAAAATGAAAGGAATTCTTCCCCATACTCACTATGTGATAAAGAAATTGCCACACCCAAGCATTCACTAATGCTTGAGTATTGTGCAATATTGTACAATCACTCCCAGCTGCCATTCAGCGATGGGCAATTTATCAAATATTGGGTACGGAATTTAGGTTGCTACCATATTCCTGACCATGTCAAGAGAAAGAAATATTCCCCACTGCCAGGATTACATGTATTAATTGGAGTAACCACTCCCCTAATCCGCCTCCTGGCCAAAACACCACAGATTTTAAAAAACCAACTGATATTAATGTTGGTAAAAAAACAAGATATGTATGAATGGTACTTGCCATGCTTCATAATTTAATAAGCAGGTCCTTGTCAGAAGTGAATGCCTTCTTTACAAAGGATCTTTGGTCAAAGTGACTGACAAACCAAAAAAACTGCATGATATTGAATGCTACCTAACACCCCCCCCCCCCCAATTTAAGATATAATTTAATTTTAATATTCATCATAATTGGCATTCCCATTGAACTACCTGACTCTCCCTTACCGTTTATTATCTTATTGCACTCTTACTCAAATGGCCTCGTTTTCATGTGCACCTGCCATGCTACAACAAGTGAACATGTAAATGAGGCCACTTAGGCGAAAGTGCAATAGGCCAATAAACGGTAGGCGGTACAGGTTGTCCAAAATTACTTGCGGACGAAACCAAATTGGGTTACCGCAAAATCACCTTTGTGGTAACCTGTTGGTTGTTCGCCAACCTTGTACCCCAGGCCTTAAAATATCTTTTCCAGGGCCGTCTGACAAAATGTCCGGTGACGTTGAGTTTGGGTCGGACATATGTCCGATGACCTTCAGTTCAGTTTTGACTCGGAAATAAGTCTGAATGACACAAATGAACAAACGGTAAATGTTGTAAAGATATTAAATAATTTCATACTTATTTCCAAGCCAAAATTAACTTGCTTTCCAGAACAGCAGTATTAAAAAAGACTTCGACAACTTAAGCCAGTTTTCCACTTCACCATTTCGCTCACCGCCCTGCGCTCAACTACATTAAAACAACATTTCCAGTTGACCTTTCATACAACAGTACTCTGATTTTCCATTTAACATACAAGCCTCTAGTCCTGGGCTAGGGTACATTTTGATTTACGTCGGACAAAGCTACAGTTCGGTCGGACACCACTACACTCGGGTCGGACAAACAATAAACCTCAGTTTCACTTTGGTCGGACAGAATGTCCGGTGGTTTCCTTTCTACGTCGGACAATTTCACGAATGGGTCGGACAATGTCCATGACCTGCCGATATTTTAAGGCCTGTACCCAAGGCCCTCTCAAAATTCTGCCACATGGAAGCCAATGCTCGACAGGTGAAATCTGTTGAGTGCTCGGCTAACATGTGGCAGAACTTTGAGAAGGCCCTGGGCAGGGCCGTATTAACCACGTGGCAGATGCGGCATATGCCGCGGGCCTTGCGCTTATGGGGTACTCACGCTTTACTGTGCCACGCCCATTTTTACGAGAACACGCCGATTTTCTATTGGGATACGCCCATTTTAGGTGCCTTGCGAATTAGGGACATCGCGCATTTAGGGCCCCTAGGATTTGCAGTTTACCCCAGGAAAATATACAATACTCGCATGCATGTAATCTCCAGTTGCGCTGATCTGTTATATATGATCCTGTTTATACTTGTTGACCCAACAACTGGGCCAGACAGGCAATTGTTTATAATATATTGATGGCAATCAATTGAAATATTGAAAGCAATTATTTAACAATTTTGTGTGTCTTTGAATTGCAAAGGTTTTCATAACGGGGGGGTTTGAGGGGCCTCGCGCTAAAATCTGCTGCGGGCCTCGCGCGACGTTAATCCGGCCCTGGCCCTGGATATAAGGTTGATTGTTTGAAAGTTAATTCAGAGCAGATGGTATATCCTAAAACATCCACACATTCCCGTGGAAGGAAATTGGGAGTTAACCGTCCTACCACTTTCGGACATGCTGGTGCGTTTCATAACGCTTTGCACATTTCAGTACGCTTTGCACATTTCCCCTCCAGACAGGGGAAATTCAGGGGAAATTTCCCCTGTTGGGGGAGTGCGAACTTTTTTCTGGAATGACCCATTTAATTAACATACTTTGATTATGCAAAAATTTTCCAAGAACTTGTTTATAAACTTATATTTATTCAGAAATCTTGCATAGATAAATACAAGTTTCATTTTTTGAAGTTTTGAAATGAAACAAAACAGTGGGTTAAATTTATTACCAATTTAAATTAGTATCCTCTTGTCCAAATATTGGCGAACAAAGACAACAATCCTTTATATAAAATAAAACTTGCATAACAATAGCCTAAGCAAAGACCTGCTGGGCCCTAAAGCGTCGGCTAATAACCGAATATTACGGAAAATAGTGACAAAGAATAAGAATTACAAAACAAAACTATGAATAAAGTCTATGTTCAACTTGTGCTAGCCAAAATGTACACACAAATTCGACACAAAATTACAAAAAAATGCTGGTACAAAATACCTGAAAGTCATTGAAAATGCGCTCGCGCTTTGACGTTGTTGATGTTTGTCTTGCAGTTGGCTTCAGTTGGCACAAAATACCAAAAATATCGCGAGAATTGCAAGAACATTGACCTTGAAGAAATTTAGTATTAAAATGGTGACAACTTTTTAAAATTTTCCGCAACCCGCTTGATTTTCCCGCTCTTTTCCCGAGATGCTCTGCGACCGTTCAACTGAGATAAAAATAACTGGAGTGATCAATGCAATTCACTGATCTATATATGGAATACTTGCCGCAGTTTGAATTTATACAACCTGACAACCTCAGTTTAAATATTGTATAAAAACCTGTACAAACGGATGGGTGCCGATACTGGGGAACAGCATGGGGAGCAGTTGTCCTTGTTGTCTTTTCCAACTGAAGGAAGGAGCCAGGGGGTGGTTCCCCTATGAGCACTTCCACTAAAGAAGGGGTATATAGGCGTTGGGATTTCACTATGAAAATGGAATTTGACCACTGGGAATGAAATTTCCGCCAGCAAATTTGCTGCTGATATTTTGTTAGTGGATCAGGCGACTGGAATTCGGACAAAAAATTTTACAGTGAAAGAGAAATTAATAGAGAGTTCAAGCTTCGCGTTATACGTCAAACGGCAAACGCCAGGCAAAGAAAAAATTTACGGTATCAGGCAATAAAGAGTAAGTGAACTTGCTGTTTTAAAACTGAAATACATAATTATTCTTTCGACGCAAGAAAGAAAATATGAAACGAAAACGTTCAACGAAAAATTTGCCAAGAAAGTTCGAACCTGACCTGCCGTTTGCCGTTCCCGGAAACGTGAAGCTTAAATTCCCTAATACCTGCAACCAAGCCCTGCAACAACAACAACCTACAACAACGACTTTATTTGTACATTTTCACACAATTTTATATTTTTTTAATTAAATATTTATATTAATTTAAGGTATTAGGCTAGCTGCCTACAATAACCATAAGGGTTAGAGAAACCCCAAAAACCATCTCCAATCAGAACTTTCTTCACTGCGTCTCAATGTCTCATATTTCAATGACAATGGTGTCTTCATCTTCATATTGACAGGGACACTTCTGAATTATAAAATAGTACAAGAGGTTCACACACAAGGCATTTGTTGAATGTCTAAAAAAACTCCCATATACTTACAGTAAAAGCCCTCATGTTTCCGTTGAGAAATTAATTACCAAATCATAATTACCATCTAAAGATAGGATTCTGAGGGCAAATTACAAAGTTCATTGGGCATTACATAGCCATGCAATGTCATTTCTATTTGCACACAATCAAAGAGATTCTTTCTTGACAATATCGTGTGTATATATTCATATTTATATAGGACTATTTATACTGATGACCGGCTTTCTTTTATGTCTTCTAAATATTTGTCCACGCACTCTCAGTCTTGCTTCAGCCCTTTCTGCAATGTCTATCATCTCACACTGCCAAATCTCCCACATGCTTCACCTATGACCAGCTCTTTTATGTCTCTTTTTAGTGCATGTCAATGCAATTTCAATCTGGCTTCAGCCAACTTCTCAGCAATGTCGACAGAACTAACCCACACAGATCCCACACATTCTTCTGATTTCCTCATTCCATAATGCTTATGACCAGCTCTCTTTGTCTCTTCTTTGTACATATAATGATGCAAATCTAATCTCAGTCAAGTTCTCTGCAATGTTTATTATCCCACACAAATCCCACCGACATTCTTCTGATTTACTCATTCCATAATTTTCTTGATAGGCTCTGCTTTGTCTCTTTTAAGTATATGTCCAATGCGGCGATCTCAGTCTTCACTCAATTTCTCTGCAAAGTCTAGTATCCCACATAAACCCCACACGTTCTTCTGATCTCATAATGTATCTGATAGGCTCTGCTTTGTCTCTTCTATAAGTATGTGTCCATTCAATCTCAGCCTTGCTTCACTCAACTTCTCTGCAATGTCCCACACAAACCCCACACATTCCTCTGATTTCCTCATTCCATAATGTATTTATCTCATCTATATGTGTACATGCAATTTCAATCTTCCCTCGCCTTCTTTCTAATGTTCATTATCCCACACATCTAACTCTGATCTCTTTATTGCGTATCGCTTACCGGCTCTTAGTCTCTTTGTCCCTTCCTATTATGTGTCCATGCAATTGCAGCCTTGCTTCACTAAACTTCTCTGCAATGTCTATCATGCATTCCACACAAATCCCCCATATTCTTCTGATCTCCTCATTCCATGAATGTCTATACATAGATGTCCTCAGTGACTTCGATCTCCTCTGTCCTTTGATAACTGCTTTCTTTCATGTCTTCATTCTTAGTATGTAATTCCTCATTATTTGTGTCCGGCATGACATTGCAATCTTGCTTCCATCACACATTCATTAATTCGTAAACCCATTTTCTATTTTAAAGGATAGATGATAAATTTTCATTAAAAAATAAAATTTAGGCTAAAATTCTGTTCCCGTTAGTCGATGTGTTTGTTTTCGAAATTGCACGGTAATTCATATGAAGAGAATCGTCATCAAAATGTTCTGTGTGAATAACTTGGGGGCTTAAAGAAGCCTTAGATTTATAACAGGTAAATATATGTTAATTGCAGGCCCTGTTGGGGTGCATTCCAACAGGCAATATTGCCTTGAAATGGCGAAATATAGAAAATGAAATATAGTGACACTGGACACAAACTCTGTCTAAATTGTAGTGTTCTCAAGTGGCTATATTACTTGTTTTGAAAACCATATACGAGCGACATGCATACCCTCCCTAACAGGACTAATTCATTCATTGTATAGATTGTCTACTACGTCCAGTATTTGGCAAACTAAAAAACTTAATTTAAAAGTTAATGTGAAAATGTTTCCTTCAAGATAGTTTTTTGTGCGAGATTAAAAATTTATACTGAATAACTTTTAACATAGATAATATATTCAGACACAAATGTTTGATCAATTCATAGTTATACTGATATATTAACTATGATCAATTTTTTTTCTAGGCAAGGGTCTGGTCATGCGAATATTAAAATATCTCTCCTTAATTAACCATAGTTAATATATAAGTAAGTGTTATTCCTCTTTTTTATATTTTAGACAGAAAATACCTTTACTGGAGGGCAATATAATTTTACTACACTGGGGCAACATTTGGGCTACATGTTGAAAGTTAAGAGGCCTTGAATGGCATTGAACGAGCTCAACCAATCACAGTTGAGGAATGTTTTTTGTCACGAAGTGATGGTTCCGTCTCTTATACATCCTCTTGAGGTCTTGAAACTGCGGATGATAATGACTTTTATTCCAAATTCTTTGTACTTGTTGTAAATGACGTACATTATAAGCTGTTTTCATCCCGGCTTGCGGCTTCCGAGCAGGGTATGGGAGGGAGGGCCGCAACGAGCAATTAAATAGGGGAAATAAAAACTAGGATGTAGATATATGCAAATCATGAATTGGATATATTTCCTTTCTATTGTATTCATGCTGATTGGAAATTGTATACAATACTCAGAAATAGGGGATATGGCATTGAAAGGAATTTTCTCAGTCGCATGTGAGATGAGTACTTTCAATAAACAGAGCAGGTTTTCTCCAGGTATATTCCAGTTCCCTCACGGTAGTAACAATTCACAGACATAGAGACCTCAAAGGGTTGTCCATATGGAGTCAGGCTTGCCCTGTTAACCGGCATGATTTGTTTAATAAATTAGCTCTCATCACGGCTTTGATACTGAACATCCAAAATAACATCAAAGTTGAATTAACTTACGGTTTGATTCCAATATAACGCTATAAAGTTCATTCAACTGAGCTTTCACGTCAGGAAAATAATTTTAAGATCAGGAAAAAAATTTCATGACACAATTTATCCCGGCTCATATGAACAGAGCCACTAAGCAAGACTAGGGCCAAGCGCCGCCGGGGCAACTTCCTCCCCCCCCCCCTTCCCCCGAAAAAATTTAACTTACTAATTTTATATAAGTACTTATAAAATGACTTACTGATCTTTCATGCGGTTTACAAGTATGTCTGTGTGTACATGTGACATAAATACGGTGTTGTGATTTGTTTGTAACCTTATTAATTATTCATGATTGTATAATTGGCCTTTTCCCAAAAGAGATCACAGTGCATTCTGGGATCGTTTGGAGGGACAAAATATATGGTGACAGGCGTCAAATATGTGAAAGAGTAGTAGACGACCAAAAATGAAATATCTCCTTTTTACATTAAAAATTTAATCCAGTAAATGTGTGCTGCCATATTTCACGTCCCTCCCAACTCTGGGATTCGCGCGACTAGATCCAGGACTTTGGGAAATGGCTAATTCTGTATGCGGAGACCACATAAGCATGCATCTAATTGATAGGACCGACATTGAATGTATTGACATTTGGGTACTTATTTCTAGGTATTACTGCCCCCTGGTGAAAAAATCATGTGTATGACCCTGAGCAAGACATGATCTGGTACGGGTACATTACTATCAACAGCGTTAAACACTTTTCATAGTATAAAGAATACGCAACCGTTGCTAGGAACCTCAATCAAGCACGACGAAACTCAATAAAGTTCAACGAGGTTGGCTATTAATACAAATCAAAACATTATAAAATTAGTCAGTTAAATTTTCTTGGGGGGGGGGGCAGTTGCCGCTGCTTACCACCACCACCACCACCCCCACACAAACCTTCACCTCCCCCGCCCCCCTGCGTACGGCCCTGCTCCATTACGCTTCATGTCCTACTCCACAGCTGACCTGACCTTCAGTGACAGAACTGACAGTCATCTCGCAACTCTCGGAAGTGATATGACAGGAACATGTCATCTTTTCAAGGCCTAGAAACGGCTCATTGCAAGATGAATCTCAAATACACCTTGACTGACATCAATGTATAATGAAACACATGACTCGAAAATTACGTTTTTTTCAAATACTGACAGCTTCGGTGCCGTGTAGGATACCCAACTACCTGAAAAATATAAGAAGTTAAGAACCTCGACGTTTCGAAGACGATCAGGGCTGTACGAAGCAGGGGGGGGGGGGAGCAGCAGGGGCAACTGCCCCCAGAGAAAATTTAACTCACTTATTTTAAAATGTTTTTATAAATTATTAAGCCAAATGGCGCTTATAATCTTGTGAATCAGAATGTACGATTCTGTGTGGGGCGGCCATAAGAATGCATCTAACTGACCTATTTCAGCATATAGGTATTACTGCCTCCCCTTCCGGTGAAAAAATCCTGCGTACAGCCCTTATGACGATGAAACCATATGTTAATTGGGGTAAGGGCTAATATATATTTTGTGTACGCGGCCACATAAGATCAGATACACGATAAGCTGCTCAAAAAGTTGTGTGTGATGTCGTGACACATGCAGCATTACTCATTAGCATTCGCGTTACAATTTAAATTTTAATGACCAGTTCTCAAAGAAGAGGTCTTTAAAAACTTTCCATTTCCACAAGACAAAGAGAACAAATCATCTTTAAAATTCTGCTCTTTGAAAACACTCGGTTACTAAGAGCACATTCATGTTTGCTCAACAATTTTAACGCTTGAATAACGAGATGCGATTATTAAGTTCACTATAGCAGGAAAATAGGGAAGTAGGTGTTGTCAAGTGTACGTTATATAAACCTCTTTACATTGGTACCAAGCTGTCGCGATTTCCCTCTGAACTACCTCAATCCTGATACTTCGATTGAGCCTTCGACGTCTCAAGCGAAGGTGTAGAGTAGCGCCCATTCTCGTACCCAGAGCCCTTCTTACGCGCGGTGCGACGTGGGGCTCTGGCCAAATCCATAACCGGATACCATAAAAACATGATAAGAAAACAATGTCCGGTGTTAGAACTAGCCAATTAGATGCCAGTTCGGAATATGGATTTGGCCAGAGCCCCTCGTCGCAACGCGCGTAAGAAGGGCTCTGGGTACGAGAATGAGTAGGGCCCTGGTGTAGACTTGTTCCAAGGGCGATTTCCATTAACTCGGCCAGACCGGTCAAATTGTTGAATGGAACAGAAAAGTTCGGGCTTCGGACCTTTCTTACAGGAAAATTTGGATCAAATTAGAAGGAGGCCTATTTTCACTACATTTTCGAGAAACGTGAGCCAAATCTTTGTAGTTGAATGGACCTATTCCCTAATGAACAAAATTTTGATCTAGACAAAGATTTTATCACACCTTCAAAGAGCATCACGAAATTAGTAATATTCCGAAGTTTCGTTGCACTATGATGTTGTAAAATGCGGATAATATAGCCCTGCGAAGTTTGC